TTTTTTTTTTTTGATAAACGTTTCAAAAAATAGAAATGTGATTGCAATATTACTGATTGCTGAAAGATTTCTTTGAGCACTGATACTGTTCATTTAACCTCAAAGTTCTGTTGATTAAATATAAAAAAAGACGAGAATTGTACAACTTATCTCTGTTTATCAATGAAAGTCAAGATTACTAAGTTAAAAATTGAAAAAAGTGATTTTTTCTTACAAAATTTAAAATTTTTAATACTTTTGATAGCAAAAACAGCCAAAAAACACATTGTTTTTTGTACTCTGATAATCACTTTCACGCTCGTATAGGAAAAATTTGGTTTAAAAATAAAGTCTAATTCTCTTTTTTTGTTTTTCTTCTCAAGCATTTCAACCGTGACACTTCTAAGACTAATAAAACCATCAAAGCAATTCGAAAAGTATAATTATATTCACTGATTTGAGATTTTTTGAGTACCGAATTTTATGGTAAATCTGCTTAGAAGTATTCAAAGTTCTTCAAGAACAAAAGAAAACTCATTTTTTATAATCTGTTCTTTCTCAACAGTTCTTTGTCGATAGATGAGGCTAAACCTTAATGAAACTGAGATCAGTCTACTGAAAATTGTGGTGGACTGCGCTGAGAAACCAGCAAAATCAAGACAATAGGCTGGTTTACAGAAGCAGTTTGAAGTGATCGCTGTTGTTTTGTTAAACAGTTAAATTTCTGCTTCATCTTTCTTTAAAGCAGTATCAAATTTATCAATATAAAATACTGAAACATAATATACTGAACAATTTTGCACAAATTATTTTGCTGTATACAGGTAACATTGTTGTCTACAACTTTAGAATTTTAATTAAAAAAGAAAAAAGAAAAGCCTTGGAACAGTTATATAATAAACTAAATTTTTTCAATTCCTCAAAACTGTGTATTCTATTGAATATTGTGACTGTATAACAAAAAAAATTGTACGTCTTAAGTTGTCTGCAAATATTAAAAAGAAAAAAAATGACGAATAATAATCAGTAAATGTGAACAAAAAAAAAAGCAACTAATTAATGAAACGTATTACCAACAAAATTTTTTTTTGTTTTATTAATTTCTCAAATCAACTGTAAAATGCTTAAACATAGAATACTCATTATGACATTTAATATTTTAGTTTAAGCAACAAAATAAACTATAATAAGAATGAAACTTTTAAAGCCAAAAAGTTGGCTGACAACTAATAGTAATCTGCAAAGTACAGCTGCAAATAGCCAACAAATAAAAAAGCTTTTTTTATAATTTAAAAATAATAATAAATTATTTACTGAGATTAATAATTAAGCATCTATATAATCAGTAAAATTGTTCTTTTTTTTTTTTTGAAACAGGTCAGCAATTATTTTTTTCCACTCTTTTTTTTCTTCTTAATCTCTCGGGAGCAATTTGGATTAACGATACAGTTAATTGCTTCAGTCCAACGTTTTTTAAAAATGTATCAAATAAGATTTTTTTAAATGAACAATTGACTGCTATTGTGTTCAGTTTTGCAGTTAACCAAACAAATGACTAATATACAGTACAATTATCTGTTTTTTTTTACATATATACTACAAAGCTAACATTAAGCTTAAAGATGTGTACAGTCACAAATTTTTTAGTTAAAAAGGTATTTCAAAAAAAAAAAAATACAGATTTTTTAACGCCTTTTTTTTCTTATTATTTTCTGCAGAAAATTTGATCTTCAACTTGTGATATAGCCATAAATTATCTCCAAAATAGTTTAAATTCAATCTTTGTCTGTAAAACTTTTCTTACAATTTTGCTATTTTCTCAGCAATATCTGGTCTTCGTTTTTTTTTTTCTCTCTTTTTCACAGCAATCAAAATTCCACTGCAAACCATCGGAAACAAAGTATAAATAGCTTTTTTTTTGCTAAAATGAGAAGAAATAAAAAAAGAAGTCGCTGCGTTGGCAG